TGGGGGTGGAGAAAGTGGATGTTTTTCATGTACTTTTTTTTTCCCTCTGCTTTTTCTTTTTGCGTATGAGATTGTTGGGCGAGTTCGTAGAGTGGTCTGTGTGGATGTGAGGTATATATATGTGGATTCCTCTGGAATGTGGAACTGGGATGGGGAAGTTTTTGAGACGACAGGGAATTTGGGAAAGAACAAGATAAATCGATGAAGAGGTGGAGAAATAATAGGTGGAGTTATGGAGAAAGATGATAGATAGATAGATCGATAGGTGGGATACGGGGATTATGGTTTAGAGAGATAGAGGAGAGGTGGAGAATATGACGAAAGATTTTTCATGCGTTGGATGTATGAGAGCGGAGTATGCACATACGCACGCGAAGTAGGTATGTGTGTATGTATTGTATGTATGTGTGCTGAATACACTTTGTGCTACAGTGTGAAATAAGCGAGGAGAGGTTTGGGGAATGGTTTGTTCAGACAGCGAGCTACTACTTATTTGATTGATTGATTGATGGAGAGATTGAAATGTGTTGTAACTTGCCAGTGCAGTGAGACACAAGACATATTCTTTGGATGATGGATGTCAAAATACAATGTGTGATGCTTATGCATACTGATTGGTATGCACCAAGTATGTATGTACCATGTGTATCAAATCCCCACGCAGCAAGCCACGTCTAAGAAGTCAAACCCCCAGAATATGTATGTATGTATGAGTGGAGTAGCATGGGGAATACAAAGAGGGATAGATTTGGAAGATCTTTGGGCTTAAGACAATATTCAGAAACTAGTGAGTGATTCGATTGGGGGTGTTTCTGAGTGGCAGATATCAAAAGTTAGAGTCATGTATTGTGGAAGGTGGTGAAATGATGTGGAGAAGAAAAGACGAGACTTCTTCTGGTGAAGATTTCATTCTCTTAATGCGCGTCTCTTCTTGCTTAAGATTGAAATTGTGAGGATGAAGTTTTATGAAAAGTGGGAAGTCGATTAGGGTATCGTTGGTATTACATCGATGGTGATTATGAATTCTTCATAATGTTTCCAGCATAGTTGTATTCTATATTGTATGATTCATTAAAACTTTTCAGTGTTGAAAGCTTATATGCCGTAGTATGCTCATGTAACGAAATGATCATATTTACTATATCGATCAACACCAAAAGAAAATCATATGGTCTAACTGAGGATGTCAAGACAATGTTCCACTATGTACCATATCATGTGAATCCGCACTTCAAAGTCTAGAGCATATGAGTACCCCTGAGTCCGAAAGCTAGGCTGAAGAACTCTTCTGTCATTTAAGGTGAATAGAAGAGGGAAGATAGATACCTAGATAGATTTGGAAAACCTCAACTGGATATCAGATTGATGTTTAATGCGCTGCTGTCGAATTAGGTTTGCGGAAGCTAGATTGAATTGTCTTCTCTGCTTTTATGCGAAGTTAAGAAAAACTTTATCGGATAGAAACAAGAACTAGCAAGCGAAGATGAATTGTTAATATAATATCATTATAACCAATGTAAGTACCTCAGGATCAAGTCAGAAGGAATAGTTCACAAAAACCAATTCGTTGTTGCGAGAGAATGCATTTTTTGCTAGGGATATATTTTCAGAGACGCAGTTAGAATGCACCGTAAATGAATGCAGATTTAATTAGTGAGGATCCTGTTTCGTGTGAATATACTCTCCTTTTTTCAAGTTCGCTTGTTGTTACTGGGGGTTGATCTTGAGTTAAACATTTACAGAGGAGTTATTCAATCGACCAAATAGCGATATAATTTTTGACATCTGCCTAATATCACATACAGCATTGTTCTTCAAGAAATGACCTTGTAGGAAATTGAAAAAGAAAATCTTCCAGGTCCTTCTCGAGAAAGTATAATCTTCGATTCGAGATGGATTCTCGAAAAGCATATAATCTCCTGAATCAACAGACATGAATTGACAACAATATCTAGTTCTAGTCGACATTTATACAATCATCTATATACTATATAATACGTGAATGAGACTACTCTCTAACAAAAGCTTCTATAATTCCATCCGCATCCGGCTCATCCTATTCCATTCACATCGTCAGTAACTCACTCATAAAAAAATGAAAAGAAAGATCTTAAAAGAACCTCCCTAATAAAACAATATCCCCACCCATCACACGCTCAAAGCAAAGGATAAGCCTTCAACTCACCCCCGGAACCCAAATCCCCGTGACTTCAAACCCAGCCTTTACAAGCAACTCTCTCCATTCTTTCCCCGTCCTCTCGATCCCCCCATTAAAAGCCATCATTGTCAAATCCAAAAGCGCATAATATATTGACGCCCCTGATTCCGGCACGATCATCTCATGCATAATGAGTTTTGAGTAGTTTGGTTTCATTGCACTCTTAAGAACGCGGAGGATTTCGAGACATTTGTAGTCAAACCAGTCGTGGATAATGTGGTGATAGAAAATAAATTCTAGAGTCTAGAAGGAAAGGGGTGTGTGTTAGTTCAGAGAGATGGGGACCGGGAGAGAATGTAAGGTTTGAAGATATGAGGAAAGATTAGGAAGAAATGGTTGAAGGAAAAAGTACTCTTAACAGGCTGCTCTGTAAAAAAAAATCATATCCGCATTTCTGTATCCCCTCGCCTAATTCACCCTCGCCAATCTCCTCCAAAACATGCGGTTGATCTTGCAAAACCAGTCTCCTCACCCCTTTTCCCTTCCGCCAAACTTCTCCTTAAAAGCCATAACATCATGACCCTTCCCTCAACCCACATCCACCAACAGCGCATTATCTGCCCCTTCCACCCACTCGAAAACCCTCTCCTCGACCGGCCGGCCACCAATCCAACCAATATTTCCGCGCTCCCATCGTATTTCCCATAAATGTATTAAAATCTCGAAGCACATTTCCAGGCATAGTACTAAAATAATCGAAACTTTGGAGCTTAGTTCCGTGCGCGTATGGCATGAGGCCATCGTGGGGATTTGTGGGCGAGGTGTGGCTCGTTTCGAGGAAATAGCGAGGAGAGTGCAGGGCGGCTAGCATGGAGGTTGCGAATTTAATGGTTTTTGATGTTTAGTGAAGGATGGAGAGGGGATGGGAAAGGAAAAGCGAGGAGAGAATGAGGATAGACAGACAACATGCGATGACCAGCCGCAAGACCCTTCTGCGTCAAAGCTCTTGTAACAGGAGTAGCCCCCCCCAAGTTTCCTCATCTGCTTCCTTGACAAAATTTGTAGAGGAGAGAGGTCTCAATATTATTTACATTCTGTTATTAGTTTCATCAGTTTCTTCATATTCAACGTACAAATATGAAAAGTGTATAAATACTTAACAACAACTCTTCTGCACCTGACAACTCTGCCAATTTCACTACGTTAACAGGCTCATATTTCACAATATGTTCAAAAGATTTAAATCTACTGCGATTCGGGCGCTCATGGGTATGAATGTCTACATCTCGTTCAAAATTATTAGACTCATATCACTCATACCCCTCGTACCTCCAACTCGATGAGTCCCAGGAAGCATAAGACGTATCGAAAAAGCAAGTTCCATGGCAACATTTTCCGGCGCCTCAATCGCTGCCGTAAGCGTCTTACTCAATCTAACAGCTTCTTATTGACTTTTCGGAGAACTTCCATATGAAGTATCTGACAGTAGTGTACTCAGATTTTTTCAAATTTCTTGGGCTTCTGGATTTGCCATTTAAGAACAGATACATGTAATTCAATTGTTGAGATGTTACAACGTGATTGGGCGATGCAAAACTCACTGACGAAAAGAAATAAACATATTAATGGAATTCTAGGTCGACGAGTCTTTATACCTTCCAAATCACGTAGCTTCTAAAATTTTGTAGAACGTCATATTTTCACTTCAGCTCACCTCAAATATGCTACACCGGAAACCGCGAGAAGAGCGGTTGTGTAACGCCAAAAAGGTATCGCTCGAGATGGGTTAAATTGAATCCTTGCTCAGGGTGCATATGTTATGCAGTGTTTTTGCGATTAGGGTACATTTGGCTATTGTGTCGCGGTTCTTCTGACTCGACTCTTTGGTACGATGATTCTTGATTCGATGATCAATAGGTCTAGGAGAGCCTATAATTGATAGCTATCGGTTGGGGGCCTTGAGAGAAATGCAAAGTGTGGCGATATCAATTACGCTGCAGTTGTTGGTTTATGTGAGAATTCAGTATAGAGAGAATTGGGACATTATAGTTTCATTACTTTGGAAGATTGTACTTTATCAAAACTAAAGTTACGAATGCCGAAACGTTGTTGAATGTTGGTACTCGCATATACAATAGTTGAATACAATTCTTGTCGAATGAACAACGTCTTCAATACCTCATTAGAAATACACCCACAAAAAATCCAAGGTCCCAAGTCACTTTTACACTCGAAAATCTGCTTCTTCTACTCTCCATACTCACTCGGAATTCAAGCAATAAATGTGCGCAGTAACCTTCATAAAAAGTTGCACTATGCCCCCACTTTGCTTATAGACACCAGACGTATAATAATTTGCACTTGAATTTGAAAGATTCTCCAAGACTTAGAGGCTATGATTATGTACAGTCCTCAAAATCAAGATATATTCCGAAATAGGAAGCATGTGTTTGTATCGACTTGGTTGATAAGTGTAAAGTACTTTAGTCTATTATGGTTGTATTCGTTCTTGATCATTACTATCTATGGGAAGCTAGTATTCAATATAGTAGAAGTGCTAGCGCTAGTGCATACGCTAGTGCAATACAGTGCCCTCTTTAGATCACATGATCGATATCCCGACAGCATGAAAGAAGTCGATTCTCACAACTACGTTAAATCTTCCGTAAAAGACCACTTGGTCCTTATTTTCGACCAGCAACGGTAGAAATGATCCAGTGGTATATGTTATACGGTGATACTGAGGTTAGCCCAAAAGACCAGTATATTATAGAGCTAAAGTTTGGTATAAATGTATGCGCTATCGTATACACAACCATGATGACCTCTTCTCAAAGATTAGGCATTTGAACATTGATAAATATCTTCTCGGCTGTCAAGATGAATAGCTAATATAATCAAAGAATCTATGTTTGGCAATTACATAGACGTATCAGATTCGGATTTGGAAATTGTGATTTGGGTCACTAGAATAGATATTTTCGTGCTTGAAATCCCTTCTTATCCGGTATATCACCTGTCTCCAGATCCTCCACATGAAATCTTGAAGCAAAGGGATGATTTGCTCAAGGTAGAGCTCATATTTAGACCTGCTTTTGAAAACGCCCAGTAGTGATCACTGGAAAGCGTAATTGCTTTTCCAACGTTATCTAGAAAGTAGAGCGACCTTATACCACAGTTCAGGGGCGCCTGCATGTATGTATACAATTATATCTCTATATTGAAGACCCTTTTTATGGCTGATGACTTATGAACAACAGGTCCATGGAAGGAATTGCAGGCCTAGTCGAAACAATTCAATAGATTATCATTGCGATAATCGTCCCTTTACGGTAGAGAAAAGTATTAATCACCCTGATGACTCTGATTTGCCTTTTACTTCATTCCCCCCACGATAACTCATCCAGGCCCGATTCAGATATTCGGTAAAGAAAGCCAACAACCAAAAAATGTTAAACTCACTGCTCCATCATACACTTTTTATTCCGCAAAAATATTCCTTCAAGTTTCCATCTTAATTGACGGCCTGATCTACCTTCTTACTGCAGTCCTCTGTATGGCATGATTACAGCACATTCAACAGCAAGACGTGGAGTCGTTCTGGAACCTGGGTTGAGTTCATGACTACGGTACCTTGTGTTATGTTGATAGCTAAGCGGAATGATTATAGCGACAGGTAATGAACGCTCGTGGGAACTGAAATATCAAGATTTTCATCTGAATTCAACAATACGCCGCTAGCTCTTTACCGATAGTCTATTTTAATTGTCGGATTTCTTATCCACCTACTCGGTCGATTCTTATCGACCGGCTACAGGCTTGAGATCCGGCAAAATCCCGTGAACAAGAGCGTATGGTATTATGCATTCTCCAAGTTTATGACTTCTTGCCTTGTGAGAGTTGGCCATGTTGCTTTGAAGAATATGGGATCGGTATTGCCCTTTTGCCTGACAATTGTGATCTCAAAGTACTATGGGAAGAGTTCAAGAAGTGCACTCGTACTTTGAAAGTCCATAGAACGCAGCCATTTTGAGGTTTCCTCATCTGTCTATGTTCTGTCGTTTCGCCCACCATCAGAGCTACAACTTCGTGTAGCTAGAATTTTTTAATTTTTTTTTAGATCGATGTATCTAGAAGCGTCAGTAAGATTAGCTATATCCAAACACAACATTGCTCAGGTAGGCCACCTACCGCTTTCGAAATTTAATCTGAGCTTGAGATATTGGATATCTGTTCAAGTTCACTTCTTTCTCCCTTCATCATCTTCTCCATCTCCATAAGTCCGTGCTTTATGCGATATTCCCAACCCTCCAATCAACAAAACCATCAAATCAGTTCCTCAAAAACTAGTCTCTTCTCACCTCTTCCACTCCTCCATTTATTAGTGCTCATTAACAACTCCTCACACCCCTCTAACAACCACTTCCACTTCCTCGCAAAGGTTTCTTCTACCTCCCAGCTTCCTGGTATCCACGGATCACCCCAAACAATGAATCCCGTTCTTCCTCCTCCACCCTCTAACCCATACATAATATCCCTACAAAACTCTATATCATCCCATTCATCACCTCTTGAGAGCGCCGAAAGAATGAGATCTCTACATCTTGGAAATGGGAAAACATCAATCTCAGGATGATGTTCTATTTCGATTTGTAGGTTTGTAGGTTTTAGCGCCAGTGGAAGATTTGATAAATCTGGTATACCCTGCGGATACTGTGTCGATGATGATGTGTTGAATGGAGAAAGAATATCATCATCCATACGATCAATAGGTAGTTTGAGGATTTCCACATTAATAGATAAAGCACGGATGATATTGAAATGAAGAAGAGTGAGTAAGTAGGAGTCTGCTGAGATAGAAGTATCGGTGATATAGGAATTGAATGATCTGGAAGCGACAATACGTTTGACGTCTATGTGATTGATACACATACATTCTTTTGCAGGGGGTGTAGTAGGATCAAGGATTACGGGACCTTGTGATTCTACGACTTTCGTTATTGCTTTGAATTTTTTCGAGTCGGCTTTTCTACGTTGTCCTAATATTGAGATTAATACAAACGATGAGTTGGATCATAAAAAGACTAGGGTTACAAACGAGAAGCCCTTTGATTCAACCGATTTTGCAATTTCCTCCTCATAATCGTACTACTGGTACCCGTCCAATCTTCTTCCAGATTCTGAATCTGTGACCTTTGCTTCATAGGCAGAATTTCGATCCGCGGTATCTCAATACATGATGCTTCAATCATGGGGCTAATCACATTTCCGGATTGCGGCGGTGTTGGCTTAGTAGTATAACCACTTGAAGGCAAAGCAAGTGAAGTGAAAGTTCGCGAAGAGAAATGCTGATCTAGCCTTATATTTATCCCCTAGAGTGTGACAAATGAGCTCCGAAAGTGGTCCGTGCAATATACCTTATATAATAAAGCCTTGTTGAATAGAAGAACTATTTTAATAGTTTTTCAATTCATATTATTTATAATAATATCTTTTATCTTTTTATCTCATTAAGTTCTTTAAAATTGTATACTGAATTGAATATTTATTTTGATATTATAAATATTAATTAAGGATTATATTAGTTATAAAGTCTAATATTTAAGAATTTGATAAATTTAATAATTTAATAATTAAAAGATTATTGTATGAGTTTAGATTTGAATGTATAATATAACTGAAAACTAATTACCTAGTATACTCATCGACTTCTCAAGTTTTAATTGATAGTAAAATCTCTTTTCTTTTTCTTTTTTTAATTTTTTTTTTAGATTATATACTAAATTAATTCTTTTTAAAAAAATATTTCTCTAAGGTTTCTATAGATATATTATACAAATTACAGATTTTTTTTGGTATTAACAGAAATCTATTTTTAGGGTTTTGTTCAAATGTTTATTATACCTCGGTATATCTACGGGTAAGCTAATGCAAGGTGCTGACATTCAGCAGGGATTTGGACGTTGCTGAGTCAGCGATGTCTCGGGGTAAAAGGGAGATATATTTGGGGTCCGCCGACAGTTGTTACCAAAAGGTTATTTATTGCAAACTGAGAAGTCATGTCATTTCATTCGTAACTATGGTATATATATGCCGCTTAATCATGATCTCGCATAAGCCCTTCCGCTTCATGACCATCAGATGATCCTTCAATAGAATCGAAATCTTCATGGCCATCATCAGTAGACTTCATCAATCCCGCCATCCGAATAGCATCCTCTTGTCCTTTCTCCACATCTACCATCCAAATGAGTGGAATAGGTAATGCAATCAAAACTGCTAAAAATCCAAATGCCGGTCGAATTTGTCCCGTTGCATCTACAATTTTACCAACAATAGCCGGTCCTACTGCCGAGCTTCCTTTATCTGTGATTGCGAATAATGCATAGAATGCAGCTTCACTACCGGGCGGTATTAATAGACCATAAAAGGATCGACAGTATGAAGATAGACCACCCATCACCATTCCGTGAATGATACCTAGAGGGTAAATTTCATACCACTGTTGCAAACCTCCTACTCCCCAAGCCTGTACAAATGGTATAAAACCGAGAAGTCCATACAATGGAACCAATTCCAGAAGTAAGAGACAACAGACGATTATATGGTTTGTTCTCAAACTGAATCGTTTTGATATGATAGGCCAAACCGTGGCGCCGACTATCCCAGAACTTGTGGCCACTATAGAGAGCACAGCGACAGCTACAGTTCCCATCTGTAGCTCAGTTCTAGCGAACAAGATAGCAGTTGCTGAAATAGTGGCCACAGCATCTGAAAGGAGGAACCAGGCGACAAGAAAAATTAAAACTTGTCGAAGTTTAACGGCGACCTTGACTGTTTTCCATAACGATTTCCAAGCGAAGATTGTGTATGACATACAAGTACGTACGAAAGCTCGTCCCTCATACAAGGCTGTTGGTAATGGTGGTCCAGGTCTATCTCGGAGCCACATAATTGATGGAATTGTAAATGTAAGCCACCAAGACCCAACGAAGAATAATACTGTTCGCAAAGGAAGTGTTGACGAAACCCCCATTTTGTTCATGAAATATAAAATGAGAATGCAGACTACTTGCACGGAAACTGCAGCCATGTAACCAATCCCTACTCCTTTAGATGATATCTGTGTGGAAAGTTGAAGATCTGAAGAATCGGCCTTGGATCCTACATTGACTTCCTTGTCGGTTCTTTGGCGGAAGCTCTCTCTCGGCTTTCGGTTACTGTGTCCGGGAGACATTGGCCGAAGAGGTACAGATGAGGAGCCATTTGAATGAGCTTCATTGCTCTGAGCAAGTGGATGATTCAGAACCAATAATGGCAAGTAAGAGTTAAGAATGACAAAAGAGCATCCAAGACACACAACACAAATGACAGTCAGCAGGGACCCCACTACAAAAATCTGTGGAACTACCAGAAGAAAAAGCATAGCAGACACAGATCCCGTGAAGCCAAATCCTGCTAGAAGCTTCTTACGCCAAGTACCTGGGAACTGTCAGAATTAAGATAGGTAATAAGATTACTAACAAACATACCATGATCAGCAACCGAGCTGACAGAGACAAGGGCGAGAGCCTGCATAAACACAGAAATAGAAAATGTGTACATTGCAAAGCTTGCTGTGGTCAACTCAGTACCAAACACGTTGATGATACATTGATGTGTATCTGAGCCTTCAGTTCTTGACATCAATGCATTGACAGTAGCATTTGCAATAGCGGTTGCATTTTTCGCCGTGCAAGGTGTGATTTTGTCTGTAAAAAGAACGCCTTGTTCACGAGCAAGTTGTTCTAATGTAACGGGTAGAAATGAACCTGTGTACTATGTCAACTTTGGCGTTTTTGAATTCGAGAATATAACGTACCGACAGCACAAACAGCGAATACCTCAGCTGCCAATCCATAACAAAAAAATCCTCTCAGCTCTCGATCGGTTGTTGGACTCGTATCTTCCGCTGGGTAGCGTGGGGCTCGTAGCCCAGAACCGCCATCTTCCATGAACTTGAAGTTACTGTCTGGGTATCATTGAATACAAAGAAGTTCAAAAGAATATTTTTACGCTCGAATGATATGAAGTTTTGTTGTTCTGAAGGAGGATGAGAAATGCATGTGGTTTTACTTGATTCCGTATCCTGTATTAGCGCATCGGTACGAGCGGATGTGGCTTGTTTCCGGAGTTATTCCGATTCATCAGTTGACATGTTTGTGATGTTCAAACAAATTCGAAACACCATTAGTTTTGGCATTTTATAGACGATTCGAAGCTAAGAGTGTTTGGACTCTTAGAGAATATAAGCGTTATTTCAAATTCATTGTTTTCTAATGAATATCGAAAGATGGGTACTAGATACTTCAATGAATCTTCATGGAGGTTAATGATGTAATCAGTACCCCAGTACAAGCATTCTCCACGTCAAGTTCCGGTTTATCCGGAAATCTGGTCGACGATGTTAACACCGCTTTCAGTATGCCATTGTATTGTGAGACACTACATAGATACTAGTGGTTGATAACTTGGACTTGGATTTGCCCCTTTTTCAACATGGACCTCTGTGGTTGGATTGTCATGGCATTGAATTGATCGCAAACGCTACACGCCCTCCATGCGAAATTGCGAATTGACCATCTAATCTTGAGACAATCAATCGCAACCTCCTTGAGTCTTAGACCTTATGAGAGACTCGGCTAATTAAGCATATCTCAAAATTCATGCAAATTCATGGGCTCTCAGAGCGGACGAACTGCCATAACGTATGAAGCATTGGGTGGCATTGTATTTGTTTCATCATGTTTCTGAGGAAGATGAAGGGGGGAAGTGGGGGAATATAACAGTAGTTCTTTCGACTGTTGGGCTAAAATAATGAGTTTTGTGAAGAGGATTACATGAATCTTAATATCGTCAGCCATTGAGGGAGCACGGGATTCGCGTTGAGCTTACAAAGTCTAAGAGCAATGAAATGGAAAGTTTGGCCCGAAGCGGTGCAGCTGTAGATATTCATGGGCTATTATCATTTATATATCAAGGCCTTAGGGCCTTTAGACCCTCAAACCCTAAATCATCTGTCCATCCCCAGACAACAGAATAATGTCTTGCCAGTAGAAGCCATTCCTCAACTTCATCTAGACCCTCAAGCCTGTCCACTCTTTCTCTTTCTTTGCGTGCGACCCAATGTTCCCAGAAATCTTCTATGCTCACGGCATTGATGCCACCCTTCGTGTTACCAAACCCAAGATCTACTAGCCTATCCTTCTGATCATTAAGCGTCTTATACTTCTGCACCGTAGGCATAGTGATTCCTCTTGATGCTAGATTTTCTACCATCATTTGTCCAAAAGCATCTTGTACTCCCACTGGCTCGTAAAGAACAATCCCAATACTTGGAATCTTGTCTGTGAACCATTTTATGATACTTTGTGCCGTGTTCACCTCAAGATAACATAGGCAACATTCGGATATTATCAGTGTGGCAATGTTACTCTTGATACCATGAAATGAATCGAGACCAATTGTGCCGGGTAGTTTCCGGAGGTCCAAAGGATGGCATACGTATCCAACTTCTGAACGAGACTCAATAGTGCGGCTGAATCCCCATTCTGTATTTTCTTGTGGCCCACTAGCCGCCGTGAATTCTGCGAGCTCGCCATCCTTTTGTCCGATTTCAAAGAACTTCTCATTTCCGATGAGTTCTGCATGATTTTGTTGTACTAAACGATTCTTCGCAACGCATACAGAAGGGAAATCAAATTCATGGTAAACGACATTACTGTGCAGGTTCTTCGCCCGAAGACGAAAATAGCGAGTATCTGTTCCCGCGCCCAAAGATATTATTTGTTTTTGCTGTGAAGTAGAATTATCAGGTTGTGATAAGAAGGATTCGATGAGGAGGTCTAAAGCAGTAGTACGAGAATATGTACCTAATCAAAGTCACAGATTAGCTGGTTCCGAGTAGGTCAGTGGACTGCACTCGCAGCAACGAAGGCTAACGAACCTCTATTTATGATTGGCAGCCTTCGTGTTCCACTTCCTTTGACGAAATAATGAGCAAACTGGTCCTCTAGATAGCCAAGATTGACTGCACTAAGACGAGATACAGCTGCATCTGTGTCGGTACCTTGAATGGCATTATCTTTACGATTTGAAGAGATCTCCGAATGAGGATTCAAAGGATCGCGCAAGCCTTGCCCTCTACCTCTGCCACGAGACCGAGATCCACCTCGCAATGAGAGAAGGTTGGGTATTTGCTGTGCCGACATTTTCGAGGCGCCAATTTGTTGCGTAATGAAAGACTGGGTATGTCTCGATGGCCGTGATTATTGAAGGTAATGTACGGGTGCTGTAGCTTCAAGCTGTGGTGGGGTTCTAGCCCAAGGCTAAGTAGCCTTGGACGAGGCTGATGATTCACTTTGAGGCAACCCACGTGACTGCAGCCATGCTCTTTGTAAGCAAGTTCCATGACATTGCCGAATTGACCATTTGTATAAAGATTGGTTCCACAGCAGGATTATTTGGGCTGCAACACGACAGTTACGATGAAGGCCATGAGCGCAACGTGCGATATGAATAAAAAATCTTTTGTTACCGCCAGTGGCACACAACAGGGGGAAAAAGCACCCTCAGCCTTCAAATGGATTTGCACGATGCATCCATCAGTAGTAAGCATGTTATCAGGAGGATCTGAGTAGTACTCTGAACTTGGCCACATTCAAACAAGTCCCTGTCTCAATATACGTATCTAAAGTTTGACACTTACAATTTAGGAGCATGGAGATGAGAGTATCACGAACGAATGCCGAAATTGTTCAAAGTGTCGTGATCTCCTTTTGTGATCTCCTTTCGGCATAGTTGCAAGAAGGGTTCACCTCCGCAATCGCTTGATCCCCGGTACCTTTTCTTTTCAATCCATACCCAGGTACCGGTCTTGTGCTGTGCCCCCTTTGAACTTATCCGATATTCAATGAGATTCGCCGAAGAGTTGGCTTAATACATATGGATATGTATCCGCATTCCAGCTGGTTTCCAAAATAAACAGTCGGGAGAATGCTTCCATACATATACTCAAGTCTACGCATACCTGGCGTTGTAAAGATAAATAATTACGTCAATACCTTCCTTCTTATCTCCAAACAAACGAATGCTAGCAGTCTGGGTCTGTAACTATTGAATTGGAGAAGAAAAGGGGGGAATTGATCTTCAGAGTTCGAGATGTAACAATTTACGAGAAGAGGGGATGCAAATCTTTTAACGAGAAGTGTTCTTAGTACTGGTTTGATTGATCCGACTTTCGTCGTGGTCTATTACGGATGTCAAATTTTATCATTCAATTGATGATATTTCCCGCCAACGGCCAAGAAAAAAACACAAGGATCAGAAGCATGTCTTTCAACCAGCTCTAAACCTCATTTGGTTCATTTAATTTAAACTATCTCAATTACATGGGTCTTATCATTGGTCGATCTCTTCATTTTAATTCCCGTTCAACATTAGCGTCAGGAACACAACATTATGGCTTTTCACATGTCCAATCAATCTTGGAATTGAACGGAAGATAAAAGCCTAATTGAGGTTAAATTCATGGTTTCTATCTATCATCCAATTTCCTATGCCGCCTGTGCAAAGCCTGTTAAAGACTCAATGTGAACTAACGTGTGATGAGAAAGATAGGAAAGAGGAAATGGGGAAATGCCTTGACCTTTTTGGTGGGCGTTCCTAAACCATTCCTATATGGAATTGGTGACCTGCAAGCGCAGATACCTCCAACTGAACCGTTTATCCACCCGCCCACCTTCACTCCCCTACATCTTTTATCCTCGTCCTTCTCTTCAATATCAAGTGTGTTCAAAGTTCACTCTTTTTTGGTTGCTCGTCGCCATTACGCTCATTAAATTTGCTATAGAAAGCAACTCACTCATTTTGAATCCGACTCGTTATTGACTTTATTGACTTCGTGGGTATCATTAGTCTGAGGGGGAAAACATAATACGCCAAGTTTTCGCAAACACATACGAGAGGAAGGAAGGATACACGCAGAACAAGAAGCGCATCAAAGATCTTGCAATACGAGCTGCATCTGGTTGATCGCAGACTTCACCACTTTCACAATGAAGTTCCTCAATGTACCAATCGCAATTGCTGCCGCAGCAATCTTATTATTACCTTGCGAAGCCAAGCTGGGCCATGGGCTATCCCATCTCGATATCTTACAAAAACGACACTCTCATAATAGACTTCATGCATCATCACGAGCAGAAGATTCTAAGAACTTGTTACAAAAGCGTGATACTTGCGCATTTCCAACGGATGCTGGATTGGTTGCTGTTACACCCGATTCTAAAAATGCGGGATGGGCAATGAGTCCAGATCAAGCTTGTACTCCAGGCTCATATTGTCCATATGCTTGCCCTCCTGGTCAAGTGATGGCGCAATGGAATCCAAAAGCCACTTCATACACTTATCCATTATCTATGGTATGTTGGGATAATTTTGGGCCTAAATGAAATATTAATCGTTTCGCAGGATGGAGGACTATACTGCGACTCAAACGGCAAAGTCAGCAAACCATTCTCCAACCAACCTTATTGTGTGTCAGGGACTGGTACAGTTGGAGTTGTAAATAGCTGTGGTGGAAGCGTTTCATTCTGTCAAACGGTTCTACCTGGAAACGAGGCTATGTTAATTCCAACATCAGTGGATGGGTCCTCTCAATTGGCGGTTCCAGGTACAAGCTACTGGTGTGAAACCGCAGCCCAGTAAGTATTGAATATCATACTGTGATTTTGTTGTCCTAACAGTCTATAGCTACTATATCAATGCTCCAGGAGTCTCGACTGCTGATGCTTGTATTTGGGGTGATGGCTCAAAACCTATTGGAAATTGGGCTCCATATGTTGCCGGAGCTAACACTGTCGCTAACGGTGATACCTACCTTAAAATTGGTTGGAATCCAATTTGGACATCCTCCTCCCTTTCGGATACCATGCCTACTTTTGGTATCAAAATTGAATGTTCTGGGTCTGGATGTAATGGGCTTCCTTGTTCAATTGATCCATCAGTTGATGGAATCGGAGGAGTTACCAGCGCCGATCAAGCTGCAGGGGCTGGAGGTGCCAACTTTTGTGTTGTCACTGTCCCTTCAGGTCTAACTGCCGATGTTGTGGTGTTTGAGCTTGGCGGTTCTGGATCTTCGGCTTCCTCATCATCTAAAGCTGCTTCAAGTAGTGCTTCGCCAACTCCTTCACCAACCCCAACTCCAACTCCCAGCTCATCATCTTCTACTCCAACTACTTCGTCAACTCCACCTCCATCAACTAGCAGTTCTATCTCTTCTACATCTACATCCTCATCTACATCTTCTCCTTCTTCGTCTTCCTCCTCCTCTTCCTCCTCTTCCTCCTCCTCCTCCTCATCCTCCTCCTTTTCGTCTTCCTCTTCCGCAATCTTATCCTTGTCGATTTCTACCAAAGCGAGCCCAACTTCCTCACTTTTCAGCCACACAACGACCTCTATTGTTGCTTCCGCCTATCCAACCGACGAAGCTCACGTGTTTCTTCAAGCTGGAAATTCTACTGTTGGCGCATCGAGTGTTTCCCTTGCCCAAACTGTTTCCAGCACTGGCACTAGCACTGGAGCAATGAGTCCAATCGCAAGTGCCGCCGAAACCGCTTCTGCAACAGCGTCAAGTACCAAGAAATCGGTAGCTACATCAACTGAATTATCAAATTCGATATTTGGCCTCGTCCTCCTCCTTGCCATCGGCTGCTTAATCTGATCGCTGTCATTTGATGATACTATATCCTCATTATCATCATATAATTTCCCATCTCCTGGATATCTTTTCAAATACTATCTTCTAATACGTCTGGACCACGTAATGTTTTCTTCGGCTTCGCCTTTATCATGACTTCTTTTTCTGTCCAACACATACATTCTTATATTATTTTTGCTCAACGCAACATTCCCTTTTGCTTCGAATTATTTCTTCAAACCGAATATATCACCTATGGTGCAGGAGTTCCCGAATACTCCATATCCTAGACATGTCATCTTTGAAGTCTATCGGAACCAGTTTCCTTGCCATTTTTTTCTGTCGTATTTATACCCCTATTTTATGCTTATTCGTATCACGGATTGGAGGGAGACGGAGTGATGGATTCAAGTGTTTTTACTTGATTACCTTTTTTAAATTTTTATGATGCGTATATGTGATTGATGTTCATACACGATTCTTTTGGCGCGGACTTTAGTCTTTTTTGGAACGAACTTTTTACAGGAACAATCTCTGTCCTATCTCTTTCTTGTGAAGATTGGACCAGGGGTTTGGAAAAGCGAGTGGGCTTGGCGAGCCTTACTTGGTGGGCGGGTGGCTGGACTTGGAAATTATTATTCATATAATATTTATATCTAATGTTGAGATATGGTGATGATTGGATGGTAGAGGGATTGACGCTGGTGATATATGGATTGGAATTGGAATTAGTAGATGAGAGAAGATTGGAAGGAAGAAGAAACGGCATGCTGATTTGGTGCGGAATTTGGTGGTGGAGTGGAAGACATGGAATGAGACTGGAGAAGATGGTTTGGTTATGTAGTAAAGGGATGAATGGAGATATTTTTCCGACGTTTATACCTACCTAGTACTTTATTTCATTGATTTCTCGTTGTGACAATTTCGTACCTATCTCCCTCACTCCCTTCTATATGGGTGATAGAAATCTCGACATTGCAGATTCTTATCATAACTACCTATTATACAATGATTATTCAATCCATACACTACGCAATCTGCGGGAATGGAAGAACTTTCCAATTTAATCCGTTCATTCCATCTCCATGGCATCACCGCAAATAAACCCCAAATATCTCGATCCATCTCACCTATACGTTCATCTTTGTATAGTTTATGCACAAGAAAACAGCTAGGCTCGAACTGTAGAGGATATGCTTATCACTATGCTATATGATAGTATGAATAAAATCACATTAATTGACTATCTATCTACAGAACGAGTATTAGTATACTTCGAGTTGAAGTTGAGCCGTTGATATACCACCTAATTGAATGAGATAGGGAGACGCATTTCCTGATTCGTGCTTGAGGGAATATATATGTAATTTGGGAAATTTTCTGAAGTAGGGTGGGTCTATGGATGAGGTTGGTTTGATATCTTTTTAGCTTGCATTCAAATCATGTGTATGTATGTGTTTGTGTGTTTGTGTGTGTATATATCAGTGTGGTTCTACGATTATCTTTATGTTTTACGATATAGTTATTTTGAGAATAGACTAATTTCATATCAGGATCCTATATCGTGTATACACCGGATGAGAGATTAGTTGAGGTGATTTCATAACATGATTTATTTAAGCTTGTATATAAATGCAAAATTCTACTATGCATAGGTAGGTAATAACGGTTTCTCATTCGTTCTCGCTAAGGTGAGCGTTGTATATTCATTTATTAAATAGACATGGGCGAACATTTGACTAGGCAATCTTACAGAACCTCGCTAGCAAAATTGGTACAAGAGTACACTATTTGGCTCATGGTTTGTTATATTGACTAGATTCCTTACACACTCTGAATTGTAATTCCACCTTGAATGATCTTACGTTATTGTTCTGTCGAAAATATTGAGATGTATTTGTTAATAGTGTCTGTATTGTGCATAAAAGTTACCTAGGTATGAATATTGACATTTTGAAACGAGCTCTTATATACACTTCCTCTCCCCTGCCTTCTTCCCTCTTTTTTTCCGTACTCCCAACTCTCGTTTCATTTAGAGGTTAGTGGTACCAGTAGCAATCAAGTCCAACCAAGCTGCAAGTCTGTTTTCATCAATAATTAGCCATCATAGTCTCCAAATACCAATTCCTCGATAGAAATAAAGAAAGTGAGGAACTGCTACTAACCTGTATCCTGCCTTGGCAATCTGCAACTTAACGACTGGGATCGCGGCTGTGTAATATCCATTGGTGCTCAAATCACCTGACTCGACCGCGGAAACTCCATCTACCAAAACAGTACTGCAAACATAGGCATTTGTATCAGATGCCCAAACCATTGAGGAAGTAACTGGGTCATCGATATCGATATTTTTAGTCCAGCCTGCTTTCAAGGAAGAATATGTTCCGGTTTTAATGGCGGTGGTAAGAGTTGCTGCCCATGTCTTGGCATCAGAAAGTGCGTAACCGCCAGTGTATTGTTCGGGAATAGCAGTGTCCCAAATTGAATGAAGGTTGGTTTTTTTGCCGGCGTAGGTAACGGAGATGGTGTTACCACCTACATCGAGGTTTTCATCGTGGAGAGGTTGGTGGATGTCGCCGAGAAACTAGGATGTATGAGCAAGGGGTGGTTATGGATATATTGACGGTTCGCCCACGTGGGGACAAAAATGGTACGGAGCATCTTTTTTGTGCGAGATGTCCATGTGCCTTGAAAATGACATGTAGAATAGGGAGAATGGAGACATGATGGAATCCAGAATTGGGAGAGGAAATCAGAACATACGTGAATGATCATCTAGGGAATATTAGTAATGGTTTCTGAAAGAAGGATTGGTGCTTACCTTGGCAGCAATGTCCAAATTGGCAGCACTTGCAGTGCCCTTTTGTAAGATGGTTGTCTATTGTGGATTAGCATCACTTGTAAATGACATTGATCTACGACAGACTCACGTAGTTGTTGATGGCACTAATGACACATCCTGCAGACCCACAATCTCTGGAGTATGAAACGCCACAAGCTGAAAAAGTGTTGCATCAGCATCGTTTTACTCGACAAGGTAACTGAGTTGAGCAGAAAAGTTTCCCCTTATCATAAACTTGAGGAACTCGTTATGAAAATCTCTTTACTCACAAGTAGGTGGGCTATCTTGAGCATCAATGTAATGGAAAGGTGCCGAGAAAGTTCCAGCAGTGGTGTATCGGTATGAATCAGCCTGTAGAGGGTTTAGAAAAATGCATGTTCACTTTCATATTTATATCGGAAGACTAACCCAGGTAGCAACAGAGGCCAAATAATCTGTGCTGGTATCACCCAAAATGTCTTGGAAATAGGTCTTTGTGGCGGTAGAGACTGCGGAAGCGTGATATTAGAGATCCGTCTGATATCATGGTAAAGATCATTACTCACCGAAGTTAGTGGCAACGTATCCAACAGTGTAATGCCCCAAGGTACCCCAAGCGTAGGTAGCTGGGACCCAAGAGGAAATGAGAAGAGCTGCACTAGTTTGAACCTTCATGATGAAGTTGGAACGCCAAGAAAGATGGAGAAAAAAGCCGTGGGGATTGATCTGCTGTTGGAAAGGATTGCTGGTTGATCAAAAGCTTGGATGGAAATACATAACTCTTTATACTTCAGACAATGGATTATATCGTCCACATACTAAGAGTGGCATCAATGTGGGTTGTGACGTCCTACATGTGAAGCTATCCACATCGTTTTTCCCCTCCGTGATGGTGGTTATGAAAGAGGCAGGTACCACTTAAATTTGCCTTCCCATCCCACCCATTTTCCACCCACCCTCAGAGATCTTCAACACCACCCACGAATAACACATCAAAGATACGGAACGATCTCGACGCGCATATACCAAACTACTGATAGCATAAATCGGGGACGGCCGTTGTCCGCCAAGATTTTTGTTCTTCTTCAAATATGTACAAGGATTCCAAGAGTTGGTATAGAGCAATGCTCGTGAGTGGAATGCCAAGCACTCGCCAGACCACAAGTTTCTCATTCTAGAAACATGCACGATAGCCACCATTCAACCACCTTCCCGACTTGTTGCGAATTCCCGATTATCACTGGATATCATAAATAAATTCGTAACATGAAGAGTATCGCTGCTCATTGTATGGTCGGAATAAAAAAGAGGACTAGCAACTACCGTCTTCTCCGCATATATGCAGGTCAGAGATGAATCTACAGGGACGTAGATAAAAGATAACCAATTATCCTTACATGTGTGCTTGGAGATATGAATTGAAAGGTTGCGTGGTGGTTATAAAGTATTAAAGTATTAAGGTTGTTTAGTAAGTCTTCGGGGGATCTGCTGAACTTGGAGAAGTGTGATCTTTGTCAGCGGATCCATCTTCCTATTTTGCCAATCGGTTTGTACACGTCCATATTTCTGTATTGCATGCGGAATTCCTGTGTCAAGTTTCTCCATTGTCCGTCCGGCCATCGGGGACGAGGCTGCAGTTGCAAAGGGAATTCCCACAGAAATGAGCTTGTAGAAAATACTTGAATTGGTACGAGTCTACAAAATTTAGACAGATCATACTATCTACCACATACAAAACTGTATTAGGTATCTTTTTCCCACGAACGCCCGATTGCGCCTCGATATACCATCCTTGATACACATGATAAATTAGTTTTAGTCTTCGGCCATATCGATATCCCCATCAGCATCACTGCTCTTCTTCTTTTTCGATTTCTTCTTTTCCTTCTTCTCCCCACTGTCCTTATCTCTCTTTCTCTTCTTCTCTTTCTTCTCTCCATCTTCGGCTGGTGCCTCGAATTCTTCGGCCCTCTTCTTCATCTTCTCCTCTTTCTCCTCCCTCTGCTTCTCTATTCTTTCCTCTTGAGCTTTCCTCTCCTTTGCTTGCTTGCCCAAGAAGTACTCTCCACTCTCAATTTGTAGATCAACCTTGCTCTTCTCTTGTGCTGGTGGGAATGGGGTGTAAACCTTCTTGCTCTTGTCGGTAACGTTTCTAGGCACTCTTCTCTTGTTCAAATTCCTCTTCTTGAATTGTGGCAGAAATCTATCCCAACTCTCGCCCGCTAATTCTGGGTCCTTTGCCAACTCTCGCTTGATCATTAATTCCTTGATGTGATAGATAGGATGAATGTTGGCCATGCAATCTTCGATGATTCGTCGAATCTCTTTTAGACCTTTGTAAGGACCCATTGCTGATACGGTATTTCCTTGAACTAGTAGATAGCATTCTGTAAGGAGTTCCAACGCTTTCAAGGTGCTTCCATTTGGACCTAAGATTCTCTGTCTTCTCTTCACGAATCGTTCCTTATTTCGAACCAGGTTACGGATCTTGATAACATCGCATGCAACACCATCTTCAAGAATCTTGATCGCTTGTGGCGCAGGCACACTTCGTGCAAGTAACTTAATAAGATCTCGTGCGTTGAGAATAGCAGCTGGATCGTATGTCTTTCGGGTGGTCTTGACCGTCATAGAACCTTCGCGCAAATCAAGTGTCGCAGCAATACCATATTTCTCGAGTGATTTCATTATAAGTGGCCAGACTGTCTTAAGATATACTTCGCGATATTTGGGGAAGAGTGTGGCGAAGGAGGACTCTTCTGTGAAGGTACCGCCTGCATTGTCGGCAGGTGTGAATGCTTCAATCTGGGAGGTATTGATTAGTATTGCGCCGAACTTATGGAATTGAAAAACTTTAGAAGTCTTGGAGAATTTACCTTCCACTTATCAATATCATCTGTATCCCAAGGCTTTTCCTTGTTGTATACCGAAGGCATTGTGAATGCTGATGGTGAGGGGTGTTTGACTGGTGAAGCTTTCAAAATTAAAATTCCTACACAAAAAAAAGTTATGGCAGAATTACGAGTAGAATATTTTTGAGACTTTGCATTTGATCTAGGTTTCCGTAGTAGCTTGTAAGGTAAGCTCGTGGCTACGGTCATCAAAGAGTACTATTAGTGCATTAATCACGTGATATGGATCACGAGGTCCAATCCTGGGTCGGCTGAATCGGAATATTCGTTTACCCCTGAATATTCAAGCGGAGGATTGATTGACAAGATTGACAGATTTACAGATTGCTGGTGATTGAGGCGATTAGGATTAAAGTTATCAAATCGTGTTCCACGAATTCGTCATCCATAAACGTTTTTACTCCGTACCTGTACTCAGTACAACTCGGCCCTCTTTTTACCAGCTGAAGACCCTCATCTTATGTAGGATCTCAATGGTACCTACCCGTTAATGCCGTTCATGCCGTTCATGCCGTTCATGCCAGTTTATATCATTTATGCATATCATTGATCGATTTACGCTGATCGGCTCATTGGGGTAAATGGATATATATACACCTGAGCATCTCAGAATAGGTCCGCCATGCACATTACTCCGTACGTCTTTATTTATACGCACACATGATCGGGACAGGAAAGGACTAATCTATTGTTTCCAACTGGCTCGTGACACATTTTATTTTTATCCTTTCCTTCCTTGAGCTTCCTTCTAACCTACAGAAGTGACCGTAATCTTAAATTTCGATCTCAGGGGTAAACTAAAGATGTTCTCGATGGCTCGTTTTCAAGGATTCTGAATGGTCAGCCTTGTTAATTTCCTTGTAGACTGTTGAGATTGTCTCGATTGTTTATCGAGTGCCGATTGAGCTGATCCACTCAATTATCTCAGTTCGTCAGGAACTTTCAAACCCTTGTGCCGCCTTAGCGCCATGGTCGTGGATCATCTCCTCACAACCTCCACCCGGATACATATCATTATATATCGTATCGTATAGCTTGATCGAATCAGACGAATCAGACCTAGCATACGATACCAACTGTTGTGTATAGATTATGATAATTAGGGCTTGCATTGATCGCATGAGAGGATTCAAGAGAGGTTACACTCAATCTAGATGATAAGCTTACTTTGAGTGATGATTGCTTCCATTCATTCTCGTTCTGTCGTACTGCTTCTAGAAGATTGCTTTTTTTTATCCGTCCATCTATCTGAATCTTGAAACTTCATATTACCATAGCTTCTTAGCAGCAGCTTTAGTGAGATGGATGTTCCGATCTTGCATGCATCGATTGATGTGCTCAATGCTGTACCTAGAGATTTGCACAGAGTAGAGGAGATTCCGAGGAGATGAAGTGGTTCAATTCAATCATAACAATGTGAAAGTCCTACGTATTGTACTCCCAATTTCAAATACATTCTTTGACTTCCAAAGTAATGATGAGTCGGTAGATAACTCATTCCTCGTAGTAAAAATTGTACATTTTTGGAGCTTGTCATAATGTCATTATCAGGTACCTTGCGTCCGGGAGTATCCTTTTTATAGATTGTTTCGATTGCAGGGTAGCGCGAATGGATAAGGGGCGGCCAGGATCCAGCTGCCATTCCTTTTCCCTCAATAACTTCTCTCTCTACCTTTGCAACTCGGATTTGATACTTTGTATTGTAACATCATTTGCTGTCTCTTCATTCATCGTTCTCATATACCCAAAATTCAAATCGATCCCTTTTAAAAGTTTGAATATCATTGTCATTCGTTTGGGTCAACCGAAAAGTCTCGTGCTTCATTCACTTACCTGCAGTTCTCGAAGAATAATTTCATTCCAGCTACTAGTGTCAGCGTAGTCGCCCTCCTTCTAGTTATAATTCGAACGATCTCTGCTATTTTCGATATAGACATTTGAAGATATATAAAAGTTAAGGAACAGTCGATTTCAACCTTAATACAACCACATACCTCGCGTTCTATTTCGGACGTGATTTAATAACAACCCCCCCAAACCGCAACCACGGCTTCTACACTCGCTCCCATTTATCGGGCATCGCCCCTCGATATCCATCTGCGGCCTTCTTCAGGAGACTCAAGTCGAGATCTGCCTCCATTCCGAATGTCACCCTCAATAAGTGATGGGAGGCAATCACTGCCAATCATGCCACCCATGGATCCAATTTCTCGACCATCTTCGACCTCGACAGTGAACTCCTCTCTACACCATAGCGCATCACTGCCGCAACTACCTGGGCTATCAGCACTGGCTTCATTAGCTTCGGGTACAAGTTCACCACAATTGAGGTACGTTTAAATTGCGGAGGAAAATATAAATCGATGTTACTATTGTCTCGGATGATGGAAGGGTTTCAATCCAATTGGAGATGAAAGTTTTGAGTTCAATGCTTCTTGTTTCTTATAGAATGAACAAAGACAATCCATTCTCGAAGATATTTGGATTCAACATTGGGATTCCTTGAAGCTTTCATGGATAAGGGAATTGTAGTTTCATATGATTGAATTCTATGATGCACAGCATACTAAAGCATGGTTCAAAAGCTAATTTAGCACACTATAGAGCATTCAATGTTGGACAAAATGTAAATATGGGGTATGCGACATCATCACCATCTGCTACATCCGGAGGAGGGCAAAACAATTCACCAGTATGTTGTATATTCTCTTTTTTCACCTGCCACCTTATGCCACTATACGTCGTCTATTTGTATCAAACTCCCGTTCTATTCTTTATATGGTCATTGTTCAGAAAATCGCCGGGAACATTCTACAATGTCTCTCTCTGAGTCTGATGATCTGATCTCCATGTAACAGGTTTATTTACCTTTTCCATTTTCTTCCTTTCCTAATCCATATTCTTCGTCCTGTCCCTCCTATCCTACCAATCCTTGGGGATTGATGTGCCGATAAGTATTATACGGTCACCTTTTCTTCAAAGGTCCATCATCCCTTGTCATTTAGTCTTTTATGATCAACCGTACTCGGGATTTTCCGTCCGTGCCTGCCCATCCCACTACTTCCTACCTCAAGCGATATCAGCAAGAGCAATCTGCGAGAATTTTCGTTCCTTCCCAATCTCCGATAACGATAGCGATTTTGCAAATTATCATACTATCAATACCACAATCATGGCTACAATGGCTAACAATGATCGCGAAACCCAACAGCCTACCTGTCAGAATTGTCAGACTTCCACGACTCCTTTATGGCGAAGAGATGAAATAGGTTCGGTATTATGCAATGCTTGTGGTCTCTTCCTGAAATTGCACGGGCGACCTCGGCCGATAAGCCTCAAGACAGATGTTATCAAGAGTCGAAATCGCGTTAAGAGTTCGGGCACTGCTCAGGGTGCAAAGAAAAAGGTGTTTATTTATTCTATCATAATTGTTTTTGCAGAAGTGGCACCATGGCTAACGCGTTCTGTCGCAGACTCTATACGAAGCTAATGGTCTTGACCAAGCGCGATCGCAAGCTGGCACACCACCGCCAGGTTCACTTGGACATAGAAGAGCATCAGGAAAGTCTGCCAATGGTCATTCAGATGGATCGAACTCTCCTATCTCCAGAACTGCGACTCCTTCGATGTATGGTAATCATTTACCCCCATTCAACGGAAATGGCTTGGAAGAACATCATTACAATCATTCCCCGTCTCTTCCGCCTATGCACATCCGACAACCTTCTCCTGGCGATATACGGTCCACGTCCCCATCTATGAATGGTCCGCATGGCCTTGAAGTGCCTCAGACATACGAACAGCTTATCGCCCAGAATTCTTCTTTGAAAACTCGCGTCAACGAGCTGGAGGTTATAAACGAACTCTTTCGTGGTCGAGTTACCCAACTTGAACAGGATGAAGCCAATGCGAATCAAGGAGTGGCGATGCTTAGAGAATCAGAGCATAATTTAATGAATCGACTCGAGGAATCTCAACGTCGAGAAAATCAATTGAAGCGTCGCCTGGATGATGTTGAACGTGAACTCAACGAATTGCGTGACGGGGCACCTCGCGCTAAGAAAATGCGTGTTGCAGATATGGTTGGGGACAGTGAGTCGTCAACTCCACAATCAGTCACTTCATAGTTCAGCAAAATCACCACCACCTCTCATTGATCTTATGCGATTCATGAAAATATCAAGATTGGCGTGTGGCGTTTTTTTGCTTCTTGTCAATGGATGATACCACATAACGAACCCTTTCCTCTACTCTAGTGCAGCACATTGATCCCAATGGAAATTTGTTTGCATTCTCTTCACATCAAACTGCTACTGGTACTCCAGTATCCACCCATATTGATGGATTGTACTACTACAAAAATATGCGCTTCCTTTCTTGCATTTCTTTCCCATGTCATGTTTATGATCCTCATCACATCACCAAAAAAATTATTCGGGTAGACGCATGGATGGTCGCGTCACCACTTTAATGTCAAAATAATAAGCCACCCACCTTTCGCTTTCGACATCTTTTAACTATTGCAATTCACGACACCCGTTTTAGACTTGGACATGCAACAGCATGAAGTCTGTCGTACACTTCACGATTGGCAACGCTGTTGAGGAAAGGAGGAACTCTAAGCTATAAGTTTCAATGGAGAGTTAGGAGTAGATGTGAAGTTGTGTTCTTTCTCGCCAGGTTTTCCTCCCCCTTCTGCTCATGCACGACGCAAAAATCAAAGCTCGTGCTGTCCATGCATGTTCATGCACTATCGCTTCCCTTTTTGCAACGAATGCCGGTCCAATATTCGAATAGCAAGCGCATGGCAGCGTTGTGATATAGTTTAGCCTTTATTGATGAGATAATTCCGTTTCGGGAGCAAAATAAAAGTTCATGGTTCTGAAGACTCCATTTCTCCCGTTCTTATGACATGATGCTGCGAAAATGATGAAAAAAAATCTCTTATCTCTCTCTCGAGCCTACTATCTATCACTATCTTATCATGCTATGCTATCTCTCTATCTATTATCTCCTTTTCTCCCGATATCGATGAATGGGCCTCCCGATCGACGAAAGCGGTGAAGGTTTCCCACGAAATTATTAGCTAACGATTGTGATGTGTATAACCTAATGCAAGAAAATAGCATCAACCTTTATTGGCCAAGCTGGAATATAGCTTGAATCAATCGACGAGCTTGAAAAGTGTAGTAGACCTCGAGTAGACATACTGACTTACTAGAACTGTGTTTGTGGGAATTGGCTGAAGTCGATATTTATGCGTTGGAAAGAAAGAGAAGAGCTGTAGGAGATTCCATAGTCCATAGTACTTTGCTCTGGTGTGCTCCGGTGGGTGATCTGACCCCGCGAAATTTAGGTTCAAGGAAGAGAGAGAGAGAGTACAGACCGGTGTTAGCAATTGTAGACGCTGTATCTGGTTTCCCATCTGAAAGGTTCGATTGACCAGTGCTCCTTCTTTTCGAACATGTAGTATTTCACTTCGAGATCCGTTCAAATAATAAAATAGATAATAAAATTTGTATTGCCATTCATCACATTGAAGTCGAAGTGACATTCTATGACGCGAAAACGAACCACTTTAAAGTCGTGGATCTTCAGGCGCGTCTTCCCAACATCAACCGCGTTCAACAACGAAAGGAAAATGACATGGCTACTATAAAACCTATTGAAGGCCGGACGGTGAGGATATCTCTAGGACTTCAGCTCACTATATAGTACTTACTAATGATTTACAAATCTACAGATCCATCAGATCCAGTCTGGCCAAGTAATTGTCGATTTATGTTCGGTGGTGAAAGAACTGGTGGAGAATAGTCTGGATGCTGGAGCAACGAGTATTGGTAAGAACGTTCACATACCTATACTCTTGAGATCTAGCTTACTAAAGATTCAATAGATGTGCGATTTAAAAATCAAGGACTCGAAGCAATCGAGGTACAAGACAATGGTGGTGGAATTTCTCCGCACAATTATGATACCCTAGCACTCAAACATTATACCTCGAAATTGACCACATACAACGACCTTACGACCCTTCAAACATTTGGATTCCGTGGCGAAGCCTTATCTTCACTATGTGCGCTCTCAAATTTTTCTGTCATTACATGCATGCCAGAAAGTGCCCCGAAAGGTACGAAGCTCGAATTCGAGATCTCAGGGAAGTTAAAAGGCACATCTGTTGTGGCGGCGCAAAAAGGAACTACGGTGATAGTAGAGAACCTATTCAACAATCTGCCAGTGAGAAGACGAGAGCTTGAGAAGAATATAAAACGAGAATGGAGTAAGGTTACAGGTGTTCTGGGACAATATGCTTGCATACAAACGGGTATCAAATTTACAGTCTCGCAACAGGCAGCTAAGGGCAAAAAGACAACAATTTTTTCTACAAAAGGAAATCCTACCACTAGAGAGAACATTGTTAACGTTTTTGGCGCGAAGACTCTTACCCAATTAATACCAATGGATTTACGTCTGGAGTTAGAGCCTACGAGTGGCCCCAGTCAGAAACGGAGTACACAAATTGATGATGGCACCAAAGACATCCGAATTATTGGTCATATTTCGCGTCCAGCTACGGGAGAAGGACGTCAAACTCCTGACAGGCAAATGTTTTTCGTAAATTCAAGACCGTGTGGACTTCCTCAAGTGGCAAAGGCTTTCAACGAGGTCTATAAATCATATAATGGATGGGGAAGCACTCAGTCCCCATTCATATTTGCTAACATCGAATTAGACACTCATTTGTATGATGTCAATGTTAGCCCTGACAAACGTACTATTTTACTACATGATCAGAGTCGTATGTTGGAGAACCTCAAGACGGCTCTTGCTGGACTTTTTGAAGGCCAGGACCATACAATACCAGTGTCTCAGTTGTCAGCACAGAAGCAACCGCAATATAAACAATTGACTATTAATCGAGAGGCTGCTAGTGCATCGAAAAATTTGCAAAAGCGTCCGCAAGCATCCCCGCAATCTGCCGAGCAGGGTGACGCGGAAGAAGAGGAGGAGGAAGAGGGAGAGGGAGAGCAAGCTTCGGGCGCAATCTCGGACTCTAGACGATCTAGTAACGCTCAAAGCACAGCTAGTCAGGATTCTCATGTGCAGTCTAATTCAAAAGCAAAACGTTCTTCTATATCACGAAACTCATTGTCGCGAGATGGCGCAGCTATAAGTTTGATTTCGAATTGGGTCGGTCGTAAGTCTGAGGAACGGAGTGATCAACAACCTGCACCTCCGAAGGCTATGCAAGATGTTAACCAAGGTCCGTCGAAGGAAAAGCAAAGATTGATATCCAAGTTTGGCAGGGAAGCTGCTCGGGTTGAGGAGGCTGAAGATGATCTTGTGAGCCCTGAAAGCTCGATTGCGACTGCTCAAGACTCTCAGCCTGCGCCCACTTATAGACCCCCTCGACACGTTGCTGATTTTAATGACCGGATGGCTGAGGCTAGCGTCTCGAGAGAAGGGTCAAAAGCGTTAGAAGGCGCTGAAGACCCGCCCAGTCCATCCCAGTTAGAACCACCCATTCCTCAACTTATATCACCATCCCCGATGTCTACTCCGGGAATACTGAGCTCGCTTGGAAGTAGCAGACCACAACGTTCTCAACAAGAGATGGCTACAATAACAATAGGTGATCATACTGTGATGAGCTCTATTGGAACACCTCCCCCTAAAAGATTGAAAGTTGACAATAGTTCTGCTTCCCTGCGTGAAAGTGGGAAACTTCAGCAGAATTTACCTATGCCATCTTTTGGGAAACGGCTTCTGCAACGATTCGGTGCACCTGGAACTCAAACCTCAGAAGCTAGCGATGATACAGATATGATCGATATAGAAGAGCCAGAATCTACGTTAGAAACCGCTGCACCTGGTTCCTCAAGCGCTTCTGATGCAGATGTCGATGAAGATTCACCAACAGCTTCTCCGGTAGATGAGGATGCTTCTGTGTTATCAGAAGCTCCTCCAGAAGACAATGCAGATGGAGAGGAGGAAGACGGAAAGTACTTGGATGAGAAGGAGAAAAAGGTTCGCGAAGAAGCGAAAGTCCAAGAGATGATTAAGGAGGTTGAAAGAACGGCTGCGCTACCATCTCAAGAAAATGTTTCTCGTGCAAAATTACTTGTCAAAGGTGGCGCGAAGAGGAAGGAATCCACGTTGAACCTGACACAGACTGTTGACACTACTGTTCTTGATATAAAACAGAAGTTTGAATCTTTGCAAGATGCACTCCCTTTGTACGCAAATCAAACTGCTTCTGCTTCTCAAGACGAAGCTCTCGATTCTGACGGTGCCGAAGAGCGGCTCTCCCTCACAATCTCCAAGAGTGATTTCGCTAAGATGAAAATTATTGGTCAATTCAATCTCGGCTTTATTCTCGCATCGAAAGCCCCTGAGCCGACGACTGAAAATGGTGGAATACAAACAGCAGATAATGTTTTCATTATCGATCAACATTCATCAGACGAAAAGTACAATTTTGAACGATTGCAAGCTACTACAATAGTACAATCGCAAAGATTGGTTTACCCCAAAACACTTTCTCTCACAGCACTCGAGGAAGAAATTGTAGCTGAAAACCTCGATATTTTGGAACAAAATGGATTTATTTTGACCATCGATCAATCATCCCAAGACGTAGGGGGAAGATGTCAACTTGTCTCTCTTCCTGTTTCTCGAGAAACCACTTTCTCAATTAATGATCTTGAGGAATTGATTGCGCTATTGGCGGAAAGTGGTGGTAGAGCCGGAATGGTAAGGCCGAGTAAAGTTAGAAAAATGTTCGCGATGAGGGCTTGTAGGAGTAGTATTATGATTGGGAAATCATTGACAAAGGGACAAATGGAAAAGGTGGTAAGGCATATGGGAGAGATTGAACAGCCGTGGAATTGTCCACATGGGAGACCTACCATGAGACATCTTTGCGGATTGGGTTTGTGGGATGGGGAGGGGGAGGGGTGGAAGGAGGATTTAGAGGGAGAAGGGAAGATAGATTGGGGTGGGTATGTGAGGATGAAGAGGGGGTTGGAGTAGATGGTATGATGGTATGATGGTGAGATGGTGGGATGAAGATATCGGGGATGATTGTTTTATGGGTTTTTTGTGGGGTTTCTATAGCATGGTGTTGGGGAAAGGGGAGGGAAGGAAAGATCTTTTGGGGTTTACACAGCACATTTTGCTATCGACAGTATCTGCGGATAAGAAATTTGCTAGATTTTGGGAGTTGGGGAAAGAAAAGTAAAGCGATGTAATTAATACATTCATGGAAGTATTTAAGTATTTAAGTGTTTTAGTTACCTAGGTATTAGATGTTAAAGGTGAGTAACTCGGTAAAATGAATGAATACTGTAGTTAGCGAGCTACCAGGTAGGCATTGTAAGATTATAATAGGTAGGTAGGTAGGTAGGTAGGTAGGTAGGTACTATTAGGATATGATATCCTACTTTGGACCTGAAATCAAAATTGGAAGGGAGGGGGGGATTTAATTGTCGTGTTTTTTTTTATTTTAGTTGAGGGTTAGAGGGAATGAATGAATGAATGGATGTGATGAGAAGGTTGTGATATATCGTCCGTGTGCGTGGTAAGGTTAGCGAGGATATTGTGGATGGGATGGGGTATGATGATGATGATGATGATGATGATAGGGGGGTGAGAATGATGATGACAAGGGGGTGAGGATATGGTGAAATGATGGTGAGTTGTGATATTGGTGTTTGGGTGGGTGGTGAGATTGGTGAGATTGGTGGGTTGGGGAGGGGAGGCGAGGCGAGGGAATGGTGGTAGGGAGATGGGGGATGGGGGATGAGAATTGGGAATTCGAAGATGGAAGATGGGAATTGGAAATTGGGATACTTGGGCTGGGAGGATTGAGATTGAGATTGAGATTGGGATGTTGGATTTGATCTGATCTGATTTGATTTAACTAGCTTTTACTTGGATACCTACCTAAGAAGGGGGAAGGGGAAGAGACAACTTAGGAGGATAAATCGGGATATATTGGGATGGGATGGATTGAATGGGGTTACTCGAGAGCGAATAGATGGTGAGTATCTAGTAGATGGTAGTAGTGGTTGTGGTTGTGAATAAACAAATCCGTAAACAGAGCCCCGAGCTCCGAGATCGGGTGAAGATGTGAGGATTTGAGGATTTGAGAATAGATGTGCGAGGTCGCTGGTGCGGCGATGTTGTGTTTTGTATTTTGTAGTTTGTATTTTGCGGGGTTGTTTTGTAGGGGAGATATCATATCGTAGATAGATAGGGATGGGGATAGGGATAGGGATATGGATAGGGATAGGGATACCTAGGTAGGGATAGGGATACCTAGGTAGGGATCGATAGATTTAAGAGGGGATCTCGGGGCCGATGGAAAGCGAGATAGGTACTGTATGTACTAGGTAGGTATGTATGTATGCATAGGCACACACCGAAATAGGATGAGCGAATGGAATTAGATAGAGTTGGATTGATTTGGATGGAATGGGATGGAATAGGAAGGTGGCTGGAGACTGGATGGTATCCATACTCGTAGTGGTGCGGTAGGTACTAGGTAATGGAGATCTTATTTCGGGATCGGGGGTTCGGCTTGTTTGTGGATGAGATGGATGGATGGGATGGATGGATGGATGGATGAGGGGGATTGGGGAACGGAATTCCCGTGGTGGTGGGGGACGGGTGGTGGGAGGTGAGATGGGAGAGGCACGTGAGAGGGTGATGGATAACGAGGGCTAGAGTTGGATTGGATTGGATTGGCTTGATATGAAGATTAAGATGTTGATGATCTATTTTGATAGTATGTTGAGGATGACTTTGAATATCTTGATTACTAAGTACTGACTGATACTACGATATATATAATGGGAATTAGAGATGTAAAATATAAATATATTGCATGTTGTATTTGTATATATTCTATAATTGTGTATTCTATATTCTATCATCTATCTTCTATATCGTTTGACCAACCGGAGATTTAACATACCTTCCTGCTGGTAGTAGGTCAAGGTATTATCTACAGAGTCGATGGTTAGGTCAAACATTCCGATACTGGAGTCTCGACGATTCAACCCCTTCCGCTTTCGCGACGACTTTGATTGAGTCATTCATTGGATAACCATACGTATACGATGGATGTACAGTATAAAAACAACCCTCACCGCCTTCGAGACTGAGCGACAGTGAGGGGCCGTTATGAGTAATACGAATCATCTATTAGTCAATAATACATGTAATTTAATTGGCCAATACATCATTGTATAGCAGATACACAACACAAAAGCTTGGTTTCCCAAATCAAAAGTGGATCCCATTCCCAGCTCCAGAGTCAACTTGCATGAAAATGACAAAAGACAAGAAAGTGGCAGAAAAGGTAATACCTTTCCTTTCATTGGCCACCGGATCTGCACCGACCGGAGATCATCTGGGAGCTACCCCCGATATCGGCACCAGTGGTCTTTGAGTTTGTTCGAGAGGAGAGCATCATAAAATAATATCCACCCCGCACTCCCTGGAAACTTTGAATTATTCTCTTGACTACTTTCTTACCTACTTCTACTCCTCTTGTAAATCCTTTTCTGAAATTCTTTTCGTTTCATTCATAAAAGTTTTCTGTCCGAGGAGTTTTGAGAATTTGTTCATTTGGGGGAATTCAATACCAAGTCAATCGCCAGAGGAAAGAAAGAGATACCATTTTAGAAGGATACCTTTGTCTTGTTGTTTTCAATTCAAGTCGCCAATATGCCTACTGCTGAAGGGAGACCTCAAACTCTCTACGATAAGGTTCTCCAAGACCATATCGTAGATGAGAGAATGGATGGCACCATCTTACTTTACATCGGTATGTGGATTTCGAAAGGAATTGGGCATTCAAATACTGATTCTTGATATAGATAGACATTTGGTACACGAAGTTACTTCACCGGTATGTTCCTTTTGGTACTTTATCATGGGGTCAAATTCCTAACCAATTTTTATAGCAAGCTTTCGAGGGTTTAAAGAATGCCGGTAGAAAAGTTAGAAGACCAGATTGTACTCTTGCTACAACTGATCATGTAAGTTTGCGTCTATGAAATCCAACAAAAATGCAAATCTAATGCTCCCTCTAGAACGTTCCAACCAGTTCCCGAAAATCCCTCAAAAACATCGAAACTTTCGTCGAGGAAGAAGATTCTAGACTTCAATGTATGACACTCGAAGATAATGTCAAGGATTTTGGAATCACATACTTTGGTCTCGGTGATAAGCGTCAAGGTATTGTGCACATCATTGGTCCCGAACAAGGTTTCACTCTTCCGGGTACCACGGTTGTTTGTGGTGACAGTCACACTTCCACACATGGTGCCTTTGGATCTTTGGCTTTCGGAATTGGTACGAGTGAAGTGGAGCATGTACTTGCGACACAAACTTTGATTACCAAGCGAAGCAAGAATATGAGAATTCAAATCGATGGTGAACTTGCACCAGGTGTCACAGCAAAGGATGTCGTCTTACATGCGATTGGAAGAATTGGTACGGCTGGTGGAACGGGTGCCGTCATTGAGTTTTGTGGTTCGGTTATTCGGAGCTTGAGTATGGAAGGTAGAATGTCGATCTGTAACATGTCTATCGAGGGTGGTGCCAGAGCTGGTATGATTGCTCCAGATGAGACCACTTTTGAGTATCTCAAGGATAGACCACTTGCTCCAAAGTATGGTTCGGAGGAATGGGAGAGAGCTATAAAATACTGGAAGAGTTTACAATCCGACGAAAACGCCAAGTACGATATCGATGTCTTCATCGATGCAAAGGATGTTGCTCCGACAGTTACTTGGGGTACCAGTCCTGAAGATGTCGTTCCAATTACTGGTTCAGTTCCAGATCCAGAATCTTACACCGACAAGGGAAAGAAGGAGAATGCTATTAAGATGTTGGAATATATGGGACTTACTGCCGGAACTCCAATGGAAGAGATTGTTTTGGACAAGGTTTTCATTGGTTCTTGTACAAATGCCAGAATCGAGGATCTCCGAGCTGCAGCTGGTATTGTCAAGGGAAAAAAGATTGCTGCCAACATCAAGCGAGCAATGGTTGTTCCAGGTTCCGGTCTTGTCAAGAGTATGGCAGAAGATGAAGGTCTGGATAAGATTTTCATGGATGCTGGGTTCGAATGGAGAGAAGCTGGTTGCAGTATGTGTCTCGGAATGAATCCTGATATCTTGGCACCAAAGGAGAGATGTGCTAGTACCAGTAACAGAAATTTCGAAGGTCGTCAAGGAGCTGGAAGTCGTACTCATTTAGTATCGCCAGCTTCAGCAGCAGCTTCCGCTATTGTTGGTAAGCTTACAGATGTGAGAAAATTTGCCCAGGGAGCCGATTCAGCACCAAAGAAGGTATCACCAACTAGTTATCAAGGCAAGGCACATGTTGATGAACGTGTCGAAACTGATGATGAAGAGCGAGAAGTTATCGGTGATCAACCAGAAGATAACTCCCCACACACAAACACCACCGCTGCACACTCCTCTGCTGGTCTTCCAAAATTCGAAGTCTACAAGGGAATTGCAGCACCATTAGACAGAGCTAATGCCGATACCGACGCTATCATTCCTAAACAATTTTTGAAGACTATCAAGAGAACTGGCCTTGGATCTGCTCTTTTCTATGCTCTTCGTTTCAACGAAGATGGAACGGAGAAGCCGGAATTCGTTCTTAACCAAGAACCATACAGAAAGGCTAAGGTTCTCGTTGTCACTGGACCAAATTTCGGATGTGGAAGTTCTCGTGAGCACGCTCCATGGGCTCTTCTTGATTTCGGTATCAAATGTATCATTGCCCCATCTTTCGCGGATATCTTCTTCAACAACACTTTCAAGAACGGTATGCTTCCAATCCCAATCACCAACAAGGCCGATCTCGATGCCATTGCAGCAGAAGCATATGCAGGCAAGGAAATTGAGATTGATCTTCCAAATCAAGTCATCAATGATGAATCTGGAAAGAAAATTTGTAGTTTCGAGGTGGAAGAATTCAGAAAACATTGCTTAGTCAATGGATTGGAT